TGATGTGGAGAAAGTTACAGTTTTCTGGATAGATCAAACCAGTCACAACATTCCCTTAAGCCAAATTCTAATCCAGAGCAAAGTCCAAAGAGAGTTACTTCAATTCTATAAAGGCTGAGAGAGGTGAATAAGCCAACGAAGAGAATTTGAAGCTGACAGACATTGGTTCACGAAGTTTCAGGAAAGAAGCTCTCTTCATAACATAAAAGTACAAGGTGAAGCAGCAAGCGCTGATGGAGGATCTGCAGCAACTTATCCAGAAGATTTAGCTAAGATCATTGATGGCGGTGGCTATCACTGATGAATGTGGTTTGGAACTGAATGCACAATACTTCTCAGGTATGCCTGTGTGTGTGTGTGTGTGTGTGTGTGTGTGTGTATACTCCCACAGGTCCTATACAGAACAATATATCAAAGGGACTTAGACACAGTTTGTATCTGCTACTCATTGGTTTACTACTCTTCACCAAAAAATGTTACAACTTAGTTAATATTTATGTTAAAATTTCAGATAATAGTTATTTAGTTTCCTTAGCAACGCAAATGACTATAATACAAGGTTTCTCAGGCAATACTTTTGTCTTTATGGATTAAAAAAAAACAAGCAAAATTTTTGCTTAGTGGTTCTTCCAGTTTGGATTTCCAAGCATGTAAATGAATGGTCTGCACTCTTTGCAACTATTGAAATGTAATGGTACTAAAGCACTTGTCATTTTCATTAAACAAGGCAAGAGTCTATCTGAATTGTGGGACTGGGAGGGAAGTTGGTACAAATAAAACACTTTCTGGGATCTGAGTAAAGGTAGTGGAAGAGCAGCTGAGAAAAAACCTCAGAGTAAAGCTTCCCCTGGAGATTACACGAAGAAGAATGCCTCGAATTCTTTTATAGGACAATTTCCCATTCTTAACATGCCTAATTTTTACATTATGGTACATTAATTTTATATCATCATATAATTTAATTTTTGTACTATATTACAAATATAATTCTTAAACTATTTTCTCAGTTGGATAGGATATATCTTCAAGTAGGATTTTCAAGAATGTTTTGTGTATAATGGTTTCTGAGTTCTTGTACATGTCAGTACATCTCGCTTCATCCATAAAAAATTTATAACCTAACCCTATATAATAATGTAAAGCCACAGCCTTTTTCTCTCAGAAATCAGTAGATACTGTCCCATCGGGTTCTACAGGGAAGTATAATGCTAGCCTGATTTTAGCATGTAAAAGTAAAAACAAAACTGTAGACTCAGTAATTTTTTTAACGCTCTTTGTCAAGTTTTTTGCACTAACTGTTCTTCTCCAAGAACACTTAAAATTATTTAGTAATGTCCAGCTCTTTGTCTTGCACATCTAACATCTTCTCTCTCATCCATCTGAACCTTTTTTTCAACTTTCTTTAGCATTTAGGAAGAGCTTATTGTGTTTGTCTTCCACATTACAGATATGATGTCTTCGTGTTAAATCTTTTCTGCTGGCTCTGTGGATTTAATGTGGCCACTGCATCTTAAAATTTCATTATTTAGTGCATTACACTTTTCTTCATGACCTTTTTTCTTTAGATGGTTCCCTTTGTATAGATTTCTTATTCTGTTTTACAGTAACTATATCTTCTTACATTCCACTGAGACAGCTGGCCAATTTTCCTACAAGCTTTTCCTATTTCCCCTTTGAGTCTCCAGGATGAATTTTGAAAATCTCCTTTTCAATATAAAATTTAAAACATTCATTGTTGAATTTCTAAATAAATTCTAATGATAGGAGATTTATACAGAAAAGGTATTGGAGAAAGCCAAAAGTATACAGCCTGGCCATCACAGACCCTGGTGAGATTTTGGAATCTATCAGGTTTCTATATCTTTTGTTTTTGTAGAATTAAAATGTAATTTTCTTCTCTGAACAATTCCAGTTTCTAATTTTGTCTCTGGCAACGGAGCTTCATATTGGGAGGCGGTGTTTATTCATCTTTCCCAAAACTGCCCACCAGCCCCTTCTATGTGTTAGCAAATGTTTTGCTGTGAAGCATATGGAAATAACAAAAGAGATACAGAGAAAGTCATAAAGAGAATAGGGTAGGTGGATAATACTTTGATGTGTTAAAATAACAACAGTAATGACAGTGGCTGTGACTACCAAAATTCAATAGCTTATTAGTTTCTTTCTCCTAATTCCCTACTCGTTCTTTCTCCCTTGATTTGCTATCAGTGAATGCAGACAGAAGGATATTAGTGAGAATAGAAGTGGACTTTGAAGATAGCACTGTGGAGGACTCAAAAGTAGCAGACAAGCATTAGAAAGACAGCTGCTCATCCTTTAAGAGGTTTCTAAACTGAAGACAAAAGACAGGGTCACAAGACGATTTTCAAATTCAAATAGGATTACTCTTTCTTTTCCTAGCTTGTTGAATTTTTTTAATGAAGTGGTGTTAATGATCCATCAACTAAGATTTTCAACTCAAAAATATTAGGCTAAAATTGGTTATTATGTTAAATACTATATATAGTATAATAATAAATGCTATGTTAATGAATATAAGTTAATGAATTTCAGTGTTTTATGACATGTCTTATTTATTTATTTATTTATTTATTTATTTATTTATTTATTTATTTGAGACGGAGTCTCACCCTGTCGCCCAGGCTGGAGTGCAGTGGTGTGATCTCAGCTCACTGCAAGCTCCGCCTCCTGGGTTCACGCCATTCTCCCACCTCAGCCTCCTGAGTAGCTGGGACTACAGGTGCCCGCTGCCACACCTGGTAATTTTGTTTCTGTATTTTTAGTAGAGACAAGGTTTCACCACGTTAGCCAGGATGGTCTCAATCTCTTAACCTAGTGATCTGCCTGCCTCGGCCTCCCAAAGTGCTGGGATTACAGGCGTGAGCCACCACGCCCGGCCGACATGTCATTATTTTATATTGTCTATGTCTTCAAAGACATTCTATTCCATTTATCTTATGTTTTATTGCTATATCATAGTTGTATATATTTTGGGGGTACATGTGATATTTTGATACTTGTATATGATGTGTAGGTCAGAGTAACTAGGATATTCATCACCTCAAAAATTTATCTTTTCTTTGTGTGGTGAACTTTACAATTCTTCTAAGTATTTGGAATTACAGAATAAATTATTGTTAACTGTAATTAGAAATTTAGTTTTGGCTACATTAGATGTAGCTATTCTGGAGCCATTTAAAGGGTAAGCCCTAGTTCTAAATTCCTAAGTCTGCTTCATGTGGCAACTCTTCTTCTGTGTTTCTCGGGTCCTGCCTGTAATCTCAAGCTTGTCTACTGAGAGTCATTCCTTATTCTGCATAACTCCTGTGAGGACTAGCTACCGTCTTCAACCCCTCAGGATAAAAAGGTGATCATTACATGGCTCTAGTAGGAGTGATTCTTGGTGTCCAGTGGTCTAGAACGCAATCATGTTGGGGATAATGACTTCTAAAATCCAAACTCCTTGTGCTTCTACTGTAATATATAAGCTTGCTTTATGCTTCCAGGTAATGTGTTTTGTCTATTGCCTACTGTCACTATGTCTGTTAGGTAGGGATAATGTTGAAAACCCATTTCAGAATAACTTGGCTGCTGCTTCTTGCAGTTGGCTCTTACGTAGTGCGCTTAGATTCTTGAGCATGCCATAGCTTCTCTTTGCCTGAGTCAATACGTGTTGTCTGATTTCTCTGGCTTTATGATCCTCACTCTGCTACTCTCAAATATTCACCTTTCTGTCTCATTTTTAGTGTTTATTTCCCTAGATGCAGATCACATTTTAATAATCCAGTTCCCTAATTTCCCTGAAATTGGGGTTCTGTTTTCGTATTCATGCAGTCATGCCTACCCTAACCAATTTTGTTAACAGTTGCCAATTTGACCTGCCCTGTCTATGGTGTCCTCACTGGCTTAGGTTAATATGGAATCCCTGGGGACTTCAGAGTCTACCAAAAGAGTACAGTACTATTTAATAAATATGTGCACTAATGTGAGCATAAGGCAGGAACCCAAATGCTAGAAATTTCACACTCTGCTATAGATTTCAGCAATTATAAAGTGTTAAGTTTTTAAAAGTTGCTAATTTAATGAGATTTAGAACCTTAACAGGATTTTATATAATGTAGCATTCAGCATTTTTAATGTTATTACAGGTTTGTTTAAAAGGCAGAGAAACAAATTGATTAGTCATGGTCCAGAGATACTCTTAACAAGCAATAAGCTCTCAAATCCCTCTACTTCATTATAGCAACTGATTTAATTTTGTTGTACAATACTGTCTATTAGCATAGCATGTTTTATTCAGTCATCTCCAGTCGTCTTTAGACTAATAAATTTCTGAAAACCTTACTACAAATGAGAAGTCCAAAGGTGAGTCAAATAGGAATTATTTCCAGAAACAGCAACCATAAGCAGTTGAGGAAAAGACACAAGAATTATTACAAGATCAAAGCTCAAATTATTGGCTAGATACCAAGGTATCCAAGAAATATAGCTCAAACCACAAATGAAAGTAACATATGTAATGTTAAATTTTCTAGTAGCCATATTTTAAAAGTTTAAATAAAAAAAGCAGATGAGGTTAACTTTAGTAATATATTTTATAAAACCCCAATATATCCAACTTAACATTTTGTTATTAAATCATCTGCAAGCGTGTGCTAAGAATTAAAGATCTGGTGTGTATCTTACAGTGATAGAACATTTCATTTTGGATTAGTCATATCTCAAGTAATCGATAGTTACATAGGACTAGTGGCCACCATAGTATACAGTTCAGGTCTAGATTTTTACGTCATCATTATGCCTTTAGAAAAAATATTCTAGAGAAAAAATAATAATTGATAAGTATGTGAGGTAATGAAAATATTAACTGGGTTCGATTTAGCTATTTCACAACACATACATATTTCAAAACGTTGCACAGATTATATATAATTTATCAATTAAGAATTTTAAATGATATAAAATAATTAATATGAGAGACAACAGTTATTTTCTCTTACCTGCACAAATCTTCTTTAATGTGAAGGGAAATCAATTCCTTAGGAATATGAAAGGAAAGAATGCTCTCTGACATTTGCTCTCGAATTCGCATCCACTTATTGTCAGATGTGGGAAATCTATATAATTTACATACTGGGTTCTTTAACACTGGAAAAAAAAGAAAAAAGTCATAGTTAAATTCTAAGCAAACACATGTCAGGCGAAGCCCAATTAACAAAACCATTAGTCAAGGTAACACTTTTGTTATTCAATTGATCCAAAATTTCTTTTTAATCAAAATCCATTAGCGTATCTGAATTTCTAAGAATTTTATTTTGACATTTTTTTTCAGTAGCTTCTGAGACATATAATCTTTGTTAAATTAAAAGAAAAAATATACATCAGACTCCAAATCATAAATGTGGCTACTGTGGCTTTCTAATTTGTTACCTATTAACTCTTGTCTTCTTCTAAAGTTTTATAAAGTGTATGTGTCTACAAATATACATTAAAGCATAAATATGTACACCTAATATACACTTTGAACAAATATATTTCTGAATTTCTTCTGATCACTTTTAGTCAACTTTACCTATTTACATAGTAGGTCACAAACTTATATGTTATTTTAGGAGTTACAAAAGGTCTTACTAAATGTTATTTCTTACATGTCAGAAAGGTTCACTCTTTTGTCTTAAAATCTGTTAAAATTCAAATACCAAGCATACTTTAGTATCAATGAGTCAATAACACACTTTCCTGAAACCACGTATTATCAGCAGCAAGGCAGAGGGACTGTGAAGAAACCGTATTTAGTATGCAGGGGAAAGTAATAAAGTCATGTAACCAAGAATTTTTTTAAAAGATTCAGAAAAAGCATATAGGATTAGATATTATGATAACATTCGATACTTATTAGTGAAGCCAGTACTCACACCACACTTTCAAGCCATCGGGGGAGAATTTCATTTCCATTGCTCTTCAGCAATGAATGCCTATGTCACACTTACTTACACACCAAAGCTTAGCGGGCAATAAAATATCAAGTCAGTCACCAGTCAAGAATCTATGATTAGTTGACTTCAGTTTAAATAAAGCTAATTAAAAACATTATTTGATATTGAAGCAGAAGGCTTTAAATAACATTGAACATGGTATGTGGGCTAGATCTCCTCGATGTACAGGGAAAAATTCTTTTCAAAATTTTACAGTTTGTAAGAACACCGTATTTCATTCACTACTTGGGTAAAAATACATATTTTTGAACACTGAAATGAGGATCTATTCATCCATTCCTCTGCAATCATCCACTCTCAAAGGTACACACGGGACATTATCATTATCAAAACTAGTACCATAATGGAAACTTTGATTTCGAACATCCTGTTCTTCAACTACCAGATTCAAAACTTCTAGTACACTTACAATACCTCCTGCCAAGAATTAGAGTGCTCACTTTTCAACAGCACCAACAGAAGCCAGAAGAAAGTACACTATTTCTAGCATGTTGAGAGAAAATACTGCATTTTAAAATCTAGAGTGGTATGCCCCTAAAGATTATCTTTTGAATATAAGCACAATATTTAAATGTTGTCAATTTGGTTCTTTACAGAATACATAGAGTTTATTATCTTTACTTTCTTTTTCCTGAAATATAAGGACTTATAGCCGATTAAGAAAAGAAAAAGTTTTATTCATTTGTGAAGTGACAGTGCTTCAAAGATACAAGAATTTGATTACTCCTTCTATTACAGTATCTCTGGAATAGGAAGAGAAAAAATATGTACTTAATTCGTTATGGTGTCCATATACCAAATATGGGATCTCATGAATTCCCAATATACCTAACATGGTTAGGAATATGCATGCATCATTTTATGGTAAGACAAACTTCGGTCCTTAAAATGGCCAAATTGTTTCTTATTTAGCAACGTATATAAATACTTAGTTATTTGGTTTATCTAGACTCAGTATAAGTTCTATTTTTTAACCTCTTTTTTTTTTTCATGATTACACAGAACTTTTGTATCACCTAAAGCATGGTTAAAAATCCTTGGATTTTGGTTGCCTTTTATATATACATCAATAATAATTTTTTAGAAAAGTTGTATTTTTAGTTATGTCACAAAATATAAAAGTCTTCATTTTCTCTGTTGATCTCAAAACAAATCCTTCTACTTTTAGTTTACTGTTTTCATATATATATATAATTTTTTTTTTTTTTTTTTTTTTTTTTTTGAGACAGGATCTCACTCCGTCATCAAGGCCAGAGCTTAATAGTGTGAGCTCAGTGATCTTCCTGTCTCATCCTCCCAAGTAGCTGGGACTACAGGAGCATGCCAATTTTTTTTTTTTGTGAAGACAGAGTTTCACCATTATTACCCAGGCTGGTCTTAAACTCCTGGACTCAAGCTATCCCCACATTTCGGCCTCTCAAAGTGCTGAGATTACAGGTGCAAGCCACCACACCTGGCCCTATTGTTTCCATTCTAATACTCTTCAATGCACTCTGAATATAAACCTTTGTTGAAATAGATTAAGCAGAAATCAAGGGTGGTTTGATTAATGAACTCCAGAACTCTCCTGTAACTACCAGGTACACAGCATCCAAGGACTCTCCGGGAATGTTGCTATTTATAAAGAAAATACTTGGAACAATTTAAAACCCAGGCACTTTAGTCATGCAAAAAATTGCCAGTGTGGTTGCCTATTTAAATTTTGTGGTATAGGTTCTGATCTTTTGAGACTCATAGGTCTCCAAACATTAGTAGTAAATTGCATATCTTTATCATTATCTCAATGTAGGTATAATGAAATCTACTTTGCAACCCAGTTTGACCCAGCAGTGTTGCTTATTAAACACCTATCATGTCTGAAGCAAGTATCATAAAATGCAGTATATGTATGTATCATATGTATCCTATGTATCATAAAATGTAGTATAACACAGTATTATTTTTAAAATGAATAAATTGGGTCTGAACTTTAAATACCATGCAAATTTGTTGCACTGGTTACACAAAGAGCAAATAAAACGTTCTCAACTCAAAATTCTTGATGGTCTGATGGCGGGGAGGTTTTGCTATCGTCACATAAAAGAAAGGCATGGTACTCATGTGTCCAATATTGAACAATGAGACACAAAAGATGAATGTTTTGTCAACTTAAAAAAAAAGATTATTCTCTATAGCATACACACTCTGCTCACACACACTCCAGCTGTGTAAATAAGCAAATGACTGTGAATGACTTTCATCTCTGGCTCTCCACTGGTGGCAAGTATTTATTCATGCAGGAGATGACTTGCTGTCCATACAATAGGCTTATCTCAATAACAGTAACTATGTAATACCTATTATAAGCTCTTTTTAAAGAGAGCCCTGTGTGTATTCCCATCTTCATTTTTTCACAATTGCCATACAATTGCTAAAAATACCATGTGACCGATTAAATCAAAAGAAAAGTAGTTGAGATATTTTAGACCATATCATTGTATTGTGATAACAATGTGAGTAAAGTTCTGAACTAGTCCAGATCTTGATTGACACATTCCTCTTGAGGTCCACCCCTTGAGATCTACCCCTTGAGATGAACACATCGAAGGAAAGTAAATGGCAGATTTTTCTTTCCTTTGAAATTGCAGCACAACTCAAATTTCTATATTGTTTCTCCCAGACTGTAATAGGGATATTGAACAAGGTAGCATGCCACCTGCTTTTTCATGGGATTCAGTAATTGTGAAAGCCAAACTGCTGCAGTTCTAAATTATCCAAAGTAAGGATGCCGAGGAAATGTTCAACAAAGCCAACATGGATAAAAAAGACTGCTGCTCAAGTAACCTTGGAGTAGAGAAGATAAACCAAAGAGATACCATAGAGATGGCCTTCTCTCTTCTGTTTCTGTAAACAAAGCTATGCTAGCAATATCAGTGAGTTCACTGGACAAGAAATTTTGGAAATACAGATTCAGGGTCCAGGGGATAATCAAAAAGCTCAAACATTTATTTCACCAGGTTATCGTTTATATGTTTCTCCAGAGGAAGCTAATCTGCGATTATCTTCACATACTTTCTTGCTTCCAGTACATGATAGAAGCAGCATATTTCAATGAATCCAACTTGATTGGCTTCAGGCCATACAGATTCATTATTGTACTACACTGCAGATTCTTGTAGAGAATCTATTCATTCCATAGTTTTAATTATGTAGTTGTTTAATTAATTATTCAGCTAAATGTACCTATATTGCCTATTCTCCAAAAGCTACATTATACTTTCTAAGGATAAGTCTGTAATCCAATTAGATACTGACACATCCTCATTTGTATTTGAAAATATCTTAGACTTAAACACATAATAAATGAACGTTGGCTCTTTTAAAGATTGGATGAGCACTGAGAAACCTAAACAGAAATTACAAAAACACTATCCTTAGCATGGCTTCAGAAAAGTGAGGGTAAGAAAAACCTGAGAGCAACTCAGAAAATACAGCAAACAGATACCCTGAATCCAGCCAAACTCACGAGCTCTTGGCCAAAAATAAGAAAAACTATTACAGATGTCGTAATAAAACACACATGCGTTATTTGTCTGCAGTTGGTGACAACTGGTGAATTTCACCTGTAGAATTTGGATTTTAGATCCTGGGTGGTTAGAAAAAGGACTGTCCTTAGGTCTGTTCATTGTGCTTCAGTGAGTGAAGGATACTATTTGTAAAGCTAGAAGCTAGCTCCTATGTCGTGCTGAGAAAACCAGACAACCTGTACTCTACTGCACTCATCAAGTTGTTTCTTTCCAGTATGCCTCTGGTCAAGGCATTCCATGCAAATCACAGGAACTCCCCACTTTCCTAACCACATATAATCATCCTATAAACTTAGCTCAGCTATTGCCTCCTCCAGGAAGCCTTCTTCAGCTTATACTACCTCCCTCCCTATGTAGATGTCTCTCCTTTTTACATCACACCGCCATTTCTATCATGGATCTTACCGACTGTACTACAGTAGTCTGTTTAGTAGTCTATGTCTCCTGCGGGAATATGAGCTTTCCGTGTGTTGTGGGGAGAGTGGTGGAGAGAGCTGTGTAGTTTTTCTGGTTCTCTTTTTTTCCTCCTGCACTTACCATAATGCCCAGTAAATAAAACATACAGAAATGAGTCTTAGATCTTATG